CTGAGGCCGCAGGCTGGCTAGGAGACACCGTGGAAGGGGGCATGTGAGGAGGTGGCAGGCAGGGCTGGGGGGCCGAGACCTGCCCCCAAACGTTGCTGTGCCAGGCCCCCAGACCAGGAGTGTTCCTGGAGCCTGGACGCCATGGGCCCATGAGCACAACCGGGTTCGCCCAGCCTTTACGGCTGGGCTGGCGCTGGGTCCAACGTGGTGCGAAAGGGGGGCACCGACGAGCGTCACACTCAGGATTTCACAGGGGCAAAGCCTTCCCCACCAGGCCATAAGGCCTGATGTTGTTTGTCCCTCACCCGAGAGCCAGGCGCTGGGGAGCTAAGAAAGGCCCCCGTGTCTATACTGCGGGCTGCCCGCTGCCCCCCACGAATGGCCAAACCTGCCACAGGACATCAGCACTGCCGCGGCTGAACGCGGGACAGTCCCCACGGTCCCTCTGATCTTTTCCATCCATGTGCAGAATAAATGCTGTTATGTGCACCAAGGCCTGTGCGGATGTGCACTAGCAGGAGAAACACAAGCCCTCGCAGCGGGCGCTCTGCCGATCAGCGGGGCAGCATTTGCCTCTCTCCTGGCTGGCCCCACAAGCGCCCCGCTTCCAGGGAGCACTGCACTTAATGGGTCCCCACGGTCCCTCTGATCTTTTCCATCCATGTGCAGAATAAATGCTGTTATGTGCACCAAGGCCTGTGCGGATGTGCACTAGCAGGAGAAACACAAGCCCTCGCAGCGGGCGCTCTGCCGATCAGCGGGGCAGCATTTGCCTCTCTCCTGGCTGGCCCCACAAGCGCCCCGCTTCCAGGGAGCACTGCACTTAATGGGACATGGCTGGGGGGCTGCATGTACAAGCGCCCCAGTGATCTAGCCCCTGTTCGGCAGCCTCGTGTCTGGAGGTCGAGATGCAGCAGCGCCTGCCTCTCGTCCCCCCGGGCGCCTGTCCCGCCTGTGGCGTGTGGGCCCAGACAAGAGTCTTCGCATGAGCCTGGCACATGCCTGCACAGCCCTGGGCTAGCCCCCAGAGCCTGCCCCAGGCCTGTGCTTAGCTGCGCTCCCCGTGCTGCAGCTTCCGG